GAAGCGTTCCCGCATTGACGTCACTTCCGGCTTCCCCCAAAACTTCAAAATGAGTCGGAGGAATTTCCCCGCGATGTTCGAAATTATTGATATTTAACGGAACGGTATCGCTTTTTCTTTTTTAAACTGACGGTTCGATATTACTAGTAGCCCAATATTTCATTTCACAACAGTTGTTGGGATGCTGTCACAGGCTCTTTAAGCAACTTGTCAACACGTTGGACAAGCGTTACGCGATGCCGTCTCGGTATTATTTCAGCAGGTCTGCGCTGCCTGCACTATATGACAAATGCCGTGGGGAAGTTGAGAGAGATGTGGCTTCAGCTGGCTACTTTGCCACCACAACGGACCTATGGTCTAGCCCAGGGGTGCCCAACCAGTCGATCGCGAGATGTGTCTAAAAATAGAACAACAATATTCTGTTTTATGTCCTGTAACATAATCTTCCTGTGCCAGAATAATGCACTTGAACGCATCAAAGCTTTGTGATTGGCCGGCGTCACCCCATGTGTCGGGGCGTGGCTGAGGGTCTTCAGTACAGGTGGCAATATCGTCACCTACCTGCGCTCATCTCTGAAACCAGACCATGTAAACAGGCTGTTGTTTCTTGCAAAAAATCTTTAAGAGATGACATGAGCAGCCCTACCAGCATTTGCCATGGTGGCCTAAACATTTTTATTTGGTCTTAAATTGTAGTTCAACATTTATTTCCTGTTACTTCTGGACCATGACGGTTGGCCAGCCTTCAACGTTTAACTGAGTGGAATAATGAATATGTTTTACCAAAATGTTGGCTATATGTTAAGGAGTGTTCAGTAGGTTGTGACAGTGCACTGCAACACATTTGATTTAATTTATTTTGGTCTAATTTATTTTTATTTATCATATTAATAATATATGTTTAGTATGGTTTTGGAAGTGCGCTCCAACATATTTGTTGATCTTGTTTATTGGTAAAATATTATTTGTTTTAAAGTTCAATAAATGGTCAATGAATAATCGTCAAAATAATCGTGATATCAATTATTGACCCAAATAATCGTGATTATGATTTTTGCCATAATCGCACAGCCCTAGGTCATAGTGTCTTGTTCAGATAGACAGGAGTATATAGATAAGAGGCTGGATTGAACCTGACAGCCCCCTAGTTGATCTTGATTACACAATACACTTAGTAAGGAGTTTATAACATCCCTCCTTTTCCACTGGACTTCAGTCTCACCTAACACAGACACAAAAACGGACCTCCTGTAGATCCACCCACAGAGCTTTACTACAGTCTGACCTTCTAAACCTACCCACCTTTATAAATGTAGTCAAGCTTTAACTAACTTTTAAATATTCATTTTAACCCTGGACGGGTGATGAGACGATGGGCACAGACATGTACTGTAAAAGACACCAAGACTGAAATTGGTGCAACAATTGCAGTCATTTTGTGGTTATTTTAATGTTTTTTTGAGGGCAATTTTAGTATCTGTGTATTCTCTTTTTTAGATTATTATATTACCGCCTTTCTGTATTTGCACAAATGATGTCCCCCGGATAACTTGCAACCGTGCAGTCACACATTTCTGCAGGTGGTAGAGATCAAAATGAAGGCCGTGGGTAAAAAGGGGATCATTGATGGCACTGGTAACCGATTTGCTTCATTTTAAGGGCATTTAAAGTGTCTTTGTTGGCAACTCGTATCATTTTGTGGTTGTTTTAAGTCATTTTGTGGGTATTTTTTCAAAAATGTCTGAGTTTTTTATATTTTGGCTTTCTGCCTAACTGTCACTGCACAGATTGTGTCACCTCATTGTCTTTGCAATCAAGCAAGATGCAGTCACACATTTTTGTAGTTTTGTAGTTGAGATCAAAATGAAGGCCACGTTTGTAGAAGTGGTCCGAGCAAGAGGGCCAAAAGGGGGAATAGGTAGTGGGATATCAGCAATTAGCCCCCCATAGACACACTTCACATCCTGTGTCTTTAGTGGTGTGTGTCTTTTTGGTTGTTTTTGCATGATTTTGTAGTAGTTTTGCTTCCTTCTGTGGACATTTGTTTGCCATTGGTAATCATATTGTAGCTTTGTGAGCATTTTGAGTCTCTGTGGAGTCATTTAGCATCTTATTGTGGTTTGGTGTGTTTTTTTATGGCATGTTTTCTCTGCCAGATTGGCCATTCAGTAAATGATCCATGTTCATAACAAAATAGTAAATAATTCTCAGTGTTGTTGTGAATGACCAATAATTGCTTGTATCACTCTTTTGCAGGTTGCTGCTTGGTGACCAGGTGACCCGAGTTTGGTTGAAGTAAAAGTGTAATTTATTGAAGAGGAAGACAAAGGACATTCTGTTCAACCTTATTAACATCTTATTTCAACTTGGATTTTCACACACAATTAATACATTGACTGTAATATATTTACATTTGTCAGCAAAATGTGTGCAAATGTATTTGTCCTTGAACCGGCCATGACTGTTGGCTCTGACTGAAAGACATGTTTGTATTTCAAGATGCAATAAAGTGTTTGATGATGCGATTGTGATCCGATAGCTTGTCCTCACTCAGACTTCACAGGTGCGATGAAAGCTGGAAAACGTCCCGGGATATTTGATAATAAACTTCATACAAATGATCACTCTTTCTGTTACTTATTAACAGTATTTTTGTACTCAAGTTTGGGTCAGAGTCCTCCATGGAAAACCATTCTTTGATAGCTTGATTACTGAAAATACAGTACAAGGACAAGACTTGACTGTAATAAATCTAGATTAATCATAAACTGGTCCCCTCAGATCAACTGAATCACAGTGGAATAAAAAGCTTTTAAAAATCAATACATTTAAAAACTTATGATAAAGATAGATCATTTACATTTTGCATACCATACACACCCCTTATATCTATTTGTAGGTGCAGGGATGTAACAATCACATATAGAAATGGCAAAGTTTTTTTTTTTTACCACTTCCAGTTCCTTCGACAAAAAAGCAATTCAATCTCTCCATAGGGTTTTGGAAAATATCTGGAACTAAGGTCTGTGGTTGAAACACATTGAAGAGACGGATCACGGTTTGTTCTACGACATTAAATCCATCGACAGTGACCCCACTGGTGATTTCTGAAGAGTTGACGTGTCTGAAAAACGATGGTTGTTACCAAGTGGCTGAATAGGACTACAGCACCTTGGTTGCTGATTGGCTAATGGTTACTCAAGCCAAAACATCGTTATGACATCATAAAGTGGCCAAAATCTGATCAGCTCATTTTCAGACAGGTTTTTATAGAAATGGATCAGGACAAAAAGAGAGAGAGAATCTTTGTTCCTGAAACTTTCAGAGTCTCTTTAAACAGAGGAGGGGACACATGTTGATGTAGAAGAGACATGAAGAAGTGGATTTCACATAATAGGTGACCTTTAAAGCATGGAGACATGTCACAGTAGAGACACTACATACACATCTGAAACCTGAAAATGAGCATTATAAGGCCTGTTAGGATACTGGGCAATACCAACGCTAAGCTAAAAAGCCAGACTTCTGTCGGTGCGTTGTTGTTTAGTTTCACCAACTTAATGTTTAACAAAGATTAAATCTGTTAAGTGTCTCTAGCTATAGCTCTTTGATAAATGTAGTGGAATGGAAAATCCAAACATTTCCCTCTGATTTGTAATGCTGTATAGAGTAGGAGAAATATGCAAGTTTCTCTGATCTTTAAGTAAATTAAATGTATTGGTGAATGTACTTGAGGCAAGATTATGGAGTGCACAAAGGCACTGATCCATATTGCTTAGTGCGAAGTCTAATTTCCACTTATATCTTATCTATATAGGCCACAATTACTCTTTTTATACCTGCATCCAAAATTATGACGTTGAAAGATGCCACCTTCATGACCCCACTGGCCCAAGTTGACTTTGAAACAGGCTGTGTCTTGTTTTGAACCTTATCACCTGTGGACTGGATCACCTGGCCTGGTGTTAAAGTACTTATTTAGGGCGGCGGCCAATACTACGAATCTTGAAATTACTAACACCTTTGATGTTTTATAACCAGGGGTGCACATAACTTTTTTGCCCTGGTTCTCAAAGGAGCACCTGGAGATGTTGCTTGGTGCTCATCCTTAAAATGAAATAAACTGTAACTTTTGAGGGGGTCTTGACTTTATTTGCCAGACACACGGCACTGAACACACATGCAGAGGTGAACACAGAACACACATGCAGAGGTGAACACAAGACAACATTAGCACGACCAGTAATCCTACAAGCTGTCATCACTACCCTCCTGACTGTTCTCCTCACTGTCTTCCTCTCTGTCAGACATGGTAGCTGATGATGTAGGCCTACTTCTTTCTCTCTGGTTGAGTCTGTGATTAGCTGCTTGCATCCACAAGTCAACAGCTGGGTTTGGGTCAAAAGTCTCTGATGTCATCTTAGACAAGTGGATGTAATCAAATAAGTATGTGAACATAACCAATAACCTACCATAGCCAATAACAAATGAATGTAACTTATTTTATTTGTGTTGTTCATTCATATCTTATTTTACCTTAACATTTATTTATTTATGCATTTTTTTTATCTCTCCAGTTTTAAAGGATATTTTTGGTTACTGTCCTATAGTATACATTGGAATGATTTAAAACCTGTTTATCCCAATAATTATAAAGGAGTGCCTTGGAAATATGTGTTTACATAAATTGTGACCAAACCGTTTGAACTTAGACTAAAGTGAACTATCTAAACACTCAGAGTCCTTTACCTCACTGAGCTGTAGTATCAGCCTCTCAGTCTGACTGGAGAGGACTCTCTCTCTCTCTCTCTCTCTCTCTCTCTCTCTCTCTCTCTCTCTCTCTCTCTCTCTCTCTCTCTCTCTCTCTCTCTCTCTCTCTCTCTCTCTCTCTCAATCCCAATCCCAGTGTGTGCCAGATGTATATAAATAAGCCCAACACCTCGACTTAGTCTGCAGGCTGGGCCAGGTGCAAGAGTCTTTTAGAAATACAACGAGCAGCAATGGGAGAGAAAATGGAAATGGAGGACACAGACTGCGCTCTGATGGAGAAGGGGAAGAAGCCAACAGCGCCCAAACCTCCAAACAAATACGAGACTCTGTTCCAGCCTTGCCTCGCCGAGATCATCGGGACCATGTTCTTTGTTTTTGTGGGCTGTGTGTCCGTCATTGAGAACGTTCCGGCGGCTGGACGCCTGCAGCCGGCCCTCGTGCACGGACTGGCTGTGGCTGTGATGGTGGCGGTCATGGATAACATCAGGTAAAGGTGTCAAGACTAGTAATAACCAGAGATGGCAAAAGTACACTGATCCTTTACTCAAGTAGAAGTACAGATACTCGTGTTTAAAAAATTTCTGATAAAAGTAGAAGTACTGACTAAACTTCTGTACTCAAGTAAAAGCAAAGAAGTATGGGCACCAAAATCTGTGCTGCTTCTCCTTCTCTAGTGGCTCCCATTTCAACCCTCCCTTCACCATTGCCATCTACCTGTGTGGAGGCATGGAGCTGATGATGGTGGGGCCGTACCTGGCCAGCCAGCTGATTGGAGGAGTGCTGGGAGCGGGAATGGCCAAGGTCAGTTGAAAGTTAATCAACTTATAAAGGTGAAATACTCTGAAACAACTCTGTCTTCTACACAATGATGTTCCCTTACATCCGAAATGCTTCGAGGAAACTGCTTTTTTTTCTAAGGATTGATTTATAGATTAAAACAAACACAACAAAAACGACTTGATCTTTTTTGTTGAACCTCATGGTTCGCTTTAAAACGTGTCCTTTGAAACATTTTCATTGAAATGACACAGGTTATGCAAACAACACTTTCCCTTAGTTTCTTCTACTTTGGGCATCTTAAATCTTCCATATTTCTTTTGCTGGAATATTTCTTAAGCTTATTAATATCAATTTATTTGACAATGCAGTTTTTTTTGTGGGTGTAAAATGTTCTAAGATATTGGGCTCTTAAAAATGTCATGAAAGTGGACTGTGACACGGATATGCACACAAGACTTTACCTTATATTTTATACTTTGGGCATTTAAAGTCTTCCATATATTTCTGCTGGGAGCTTTTTAGCTGGTTAATATAAAGATTTTACTCCTTGCCTGTTTGGATTACACTGCATATGTGTTTTCCCTAAAAGCTTAAGGGGAAATGTAACATGGGAATGCACTTTTTAAAAGACCAGGCTGTCTGAAAGGATGCATGTTTGAGCACACTGAAAAGCCAACTAAAGAAATCGTGAATCTTCTCTCCCAGATGATGGTCCCTGCAGACCGTTACCTCAACGCCACAGGAGCAGCGTTTGACATCCTGAAGTCGGAGAGCCAGCTGTTCGGAGCCATCTTTGGGGAGGTGGCCATGACCTGCCTGATCACAATGGTGGTGCTGCTGGTGGCTGTCAACCAGAAGACCAAAACCCCACTGGCCCCCTTCCTGGTGGGCTGCACCGTCATCATCAACGTGCTAGCAGGGTGAGATAAGAGGGCGATGACCAAAACATGTGTTAGCAGTTTATTGAGACACCCTGTTAATTATTCATGCGTGACAGTTATCAGCTCCTTGTTGGTTGCCACTTTCTAGGTTTATGATCCAACTTTACAGCGTGCAGGGAGGAGCCCACTGATAATAATTGGCATTTAATTCAAACTGAATAAAAGCGTCCCCAAAATGAAAATACTTGAATTATTAAAAGTGGCAGACATTGACATTTATACGTTTCTTAAGCACTCAAGTTGGTAGTGAGCTCTCTTCATAATTAAATCAGTATTGTTTTTACAAATTTCCCTCACAAGTTATTTCAAAATAAGGGTAATTCAAAATTTGAATTATTATTTGAACATAATTACTAAAATAATGACATTTCTCAATCAATTGGAAAATACTTGAATCTACACTGGCAGAATCTGAATTAAATACAAGTCAATGTAGCTAAATTAATTTAGCTTCCACTGTTGTTATCCAATTTTTTTAATGTAATATTTCTTACCGTTCAACCATAACATCTCAAATGGTGAAAGTATGAAATTCCATCTCTGGCTGTATTTACTAATATTAGATAACCACATTATCATGAATTAAACAATGGTGATTAAACGTTATATAATTTCTGCTGCTACAGTCATAAGAAATGTTTAGGTTTGAACAAATTAAGCAACTGGCATTAATAACAAATATTGTTTCTGTGCTGTGGGTTGCAGGGGCGATGTTTCGGGGACGTGTCTGAACCCGGCCCGAGCGTTCGGTCCGGCTGTGATGACAAACTATTGGGTTTACCACTGGGTTTACTGGGTGGGACCCATCGGAGGAGGCCTGGTGGCCGCCGCTCTGCTCAGGTGAGAGAGGCGGCTTGATACAATAACATAATTCAATTAATAAATAATACTTCATAAGTTAGTTTATTTTGTTTTAAAGTCTGCTTAGTTGCTGGATTAGTGTTCAAAGAGTTTTACTTTTATGTTAAAGCACTGATGTAACTGTAAAAAAAAAATCATTATTATTAATATTAATGTAATAATTATTATATATTATTATTTAGTATTTATGTTTGTATTTATTTAATAATAAAACGTATTTTTATTAAATAAATAAGTAATCAAACTATAATTATTATTAAATGTTATTATTATTATTTTGACTATTTATTTATTTTATAATAATAATAAATCATTATTAATGTCATTATTTGTTATTAGTATTTGTATTGATATTATTTATTATTATTTTCTTTAGTTATTCGTGCATTTGACTATTTATTTTATTATATTTGTATTGTTATTATAAAGTGTGTTATTCATATTATTATAACTCATGGTGCCTCTCTTCTGTTTCAGGCTCATTCTGGGTGACAGTAAATTAAGAGTGGTTATGAAAACATAACAGCATCTATTGTGTGTGTATTGCAGCAGGTGATGATAAACCTGCTAACCCTGTCCCTTCCTTTTGTGTCAAACTGTATGAATTGAAAACCATGTGGATTTTATGAAATAAAGAACAAAACATGTAGACGCTCTCTTCATTTATTCTCTTGCAAGAAATAAAGTATTGTATGAATTAAAAGACACATTTCAGAAGACATGAAAGACACAAAGCCAATTTTGAGCGGCATGCAGTTTATTCTCTAATTGTTCACAATGAGTGAAAGGATGGCCTGCATGTGACATTTCCCTCCGCGTGCAGTTTAGCGGTATCTCTCAGCGAGAGCCAGGGCCACTCCAGAGAGGAATTTATCCAGGGAGACGTGGGCCTCGGGGGTGAATTCCTTCGGGAACATGGTGGCGATCACCACCAGGATGCAGTGGTTCAGGATCTGCAGGGAAACAATTGAAAAGCAAATTGAAAAAAATCATAAAACCACATTTAATTTCACTGTAACAGAAGAGTTGTTATTTTTTACTTAATTCCCGTGTCGCTGAAAATCATGCTGAATACAACAGCAGCACACATTCGTAATTAACACGTAAGCTCTACATGTGCGTAAAAGCGCGGACAAGCAATCCAAACCTCACAGTGATGTTAAAAAGATCACCTCAGCACAGATGTTATATCATGATGTCATTGTTTTCACGATGTTAATGTCTCACCTTGAAGTTGCCCGGGTCCACTCGCAGCTTGAAGGCGTGCTGCTCGCTGAGCTCAAACAGACCAGTTTTCAGGTCGTCAATCTTGGACACAGCCAGCTCGATTCCACCCATCACCTTCTTGCCATGCTCCTTAATGTGAATAGAGCCGGGGATCACCTCTGGCCAGTGGGAGAAGTAGATCTTGGTCTGCGGATAGACGACGATCATCCTGTGGGGGTGGAGAGGGCGTTAGGTGGTGGAGAGCTTAACACTGAGCGTAAAGCAAACCAATGACAAATAACTTCACGAACTCTAGATGATGTTTTTACTTTAAAGGTATTTTTTCTGTATATATAGCACTAATGTAATAGCATTCATATTTGAATAGATCATTCTTACATTTAGAGTGTATTTGCTGCCATGCATCTAATGTAATTTAACGGTTTAAGCGTCCTTAAATGTAATGCCATTACTGTGTTTTTAAAGATAAATAAAGACACTTAAAGACCCCACATTTACACTAGTAAATTATTCAAGCACCGAATAAAAAGAAATATTTAAGAACTATTTAATAGTATTTTATATAATCACACATGTAATAAAACACGTAGTAAAATATATAAAATAAAACAAACTCCGATATAAACCGGATGCACTCACCTGCTCAGAGCATCGTTTCCAATCGCATCACTTGACTTGCTGATCGTGCTCCACAGAGCCCTGACTGCTGCCTTGTCTTTGTCGGAGAGACTCATCTTGCTTGCTTATTTCTTCCTGACCTCTGAGGGTTTGGAGTTCCTTTTTAAATGCAATTTCGATCAGGTCACACCCACACTGAGCCCACCCCGCCTGACTCATATCGGAGCCTTCCTCCCGGACAGATCGACCCGCAGGTGGCCTGATGCCAGCCGGACAGCGGTATCAGCTGGTCAGTCTGGGCATCAGTTGACACCAATATGTGACCATTTACGTGGGCATGAAATGACAAAAGAGTCTGGTGAATAGAGTTTCTCTCTGAGGAGCATCTCAGGTCGCAGTGTTTACTCCCCAGTGAGAGACTTCTCCCACCAGTGTGGCGTTTCAAGCCACAAGTTAAGTGCAACATATGAGTGACATTTCAAAACAAAGATATCTGTTTTCTTACAGTACATCATATTAATCAGAAATGAAGATTTTTCAGTAAAGACAGTTTCTTTTTTGCACATGCTTAATTTACGCGTAAATAAACGTGTAAAAAAAAAAGTACGCTCAAGACATCCAAACCTTGGTGTGATGTGAATGGATTTTGTTGGCACATATCTTTCAGCATGATATCAAAGTGTGCATTATGTAGGCTATTTCCTGAGAGAGTTGAAGTTCCCATCAATAAAGTAATTTTTCTATTATCATTCAAAGTTTTGGGACATTCTTGCTCTGGTTTTGGGCAATTTAACTAAAAACAAAATGCAAAACTTCAGAAGGAAACCCCAGTGTGGATTAATAACATGTACTTTTATTAACATCATGTATTGATAAACTTTCACGGCCATTAAGATCCTCTAGGGGTTCCCAAACGTTGCCATGCCAAGGACCCCCATATAGCATTATCCTCTGGCGGGGACCCCCCTGTTGCAATTAGTTTTTATAAATGATGAGTACATTATGATGGAGAATATGACAAATTAGTCATACAGCTTAATATATTTTCTTATTATTTATTTGTATTAATAATTAATAATCAGTTATTCTTCTAAACATTTTTTGTATTTATCTTTTGTTTGTAATTCATTACATTCATTGTGTGTTCTGTTATAAACATTCTTAACACAATATTAAACAGTAATATCAACAGTAAACATATTTTTAAAGTGATTTCTGTCTTTATAATATTATATAATTTTGAACAGTAATATGAACAATTAACATATATTTTTTGCATTTTTGAAAGCTACTTATGTCTCAATAATATTATATATAATATTCAACAGTAATATTAAAAATAAACATATTTATATTCATATATATAAACAACAATATTTGATACATCCGTGCTCTCATCCAGCTGCAGAGCGAAATATTCACTAGCTCTCACTTGCTCCTAAAGCTGAGCAGTTACTCAGTTTCACTCTCAGTAGCGGCAGCTCGATTCTGATGGCTTGAAGGGCGGTCGTGTGATTTAAAAATAAAAATAAAATATATTAATAAATAAAAAATCTTAAAAGATTGGCATCAAAGGAGGACACATAGAGATATGCAGTTATTAATAACATATAAAAAAGAAAAAAATGTAACTTTAAAAAAAAAAAAAATTCCCCTTTCCGTCAAACTTTGCGTGACCCCCCTGGCGCCCCCTGGCGGCCCCCCGGGGGGTCGGGGCCCCCACTTTGAAAAACACTGCTCTAACACACATGTGTCAAACTCAAGGCCCCGGGGCCAAATCAGGCCCGTCGGTATATGCACGCACGTCGCACACCTTCACTCCATCCTGAGCGTCTCCTCAGCTCAGAGCCTGAGCCCAAACATTGATGACCTTGCACCCAAGATGAGATGCCAAGTATCTGCTTGAACTAGCATCACAGAGCAGCAACCTGAGTTTAATGGATGTTTCCTTCTGCACTTTCTCTCTCACGACAACAGGGCATGTTTGGTTTGTTCTTTGAGGGAAATAGTTTTTTGAAGCTGTTGTTGGCCTGAGGAAAAATGTACTCATAAGAAATGACTCTGCAGATAGAGCCATAAGAAATGAATGCATCTGATTATTTAATGTTTAATGTTGTTTTTATAGGCAATAATTTAAGCTTTGTTAGTTCCAGGTTTAATATGTGCAGTAAGTTCATTTCAATAAGTTCTGCAATAAACTTTGAACCAGTCCGGCCCTCGACTAGTACCCATTTTCTTTTTATTATTATTATAAACAGTTGGGTTGCATAATAAGCAAGAACACGTTTCATTCAAACATCCCAGTTTCAACAAATCAGATACATCAATGCATGCATGTTCTTTATTTGTCACTAACGTAAACTACATTTTCCTAAAGCTAGCCGCACTGAATCACTTCCTAAAAATGAAAGAAATATAGATAGTCATTGCGGTTGTAGTATTACGCTTAAAGATGAATAAGTTACATGATATATTGATTTAAAATTCGTTTTATTTCAAATGTAGCCTTTTAAAAAGTATTTATATAATTTGTTTTGCTGAGGCCATTACTTTATTTCTCGGAAATGGAGCTCGTGGAATTTTATCATCAACGCCCTTTATAATCAAGACTAATATGAAGTTTGGCACAAGGTGGCAGAGGGTGGAGGGGGGGGCGCTGCTGGAGATAACAGGCGCGTGCCTTCAAAGATAAACACTCTGACATCAACCCTTTTGGACTGCTTTGCAAATTCAGTGGCATTAGAAATTAAGTGTAATAAACACAAATTAGGTTATAACTTATCCGATGTTGCACTTGTTTTTAAATGCCTGTGTTGTATCTAAGCAGTTGATTATGTCGCTGAAGTAAAAACATGCATGTGTGTCAGGATTCATACACTTTTTCACCAATGATTTTCAACGACTTCTCCATGACCTTTACCTAATTTTCCATGACCAAACAAATTACTCTTTCTCAGCGGTACCACGGAAAATGGTTTATTTTAACATGGAACAGGAAAATAAGGTCTGCATATGAAACATGTCGTGCCTATCTAAAACAAATCAAATAGTAGGCTTACTAGCTTCTACGCGCTAAAGCAACTCAAATACCTAGACAGTTAAATGCCATTTTACGTTTCATTACTATACGATACAGTATTTATCATTATAGTATTACTATTTCGGCGATTAGATAAAATCTAAAAATATTGTTTTCCATAACTTTTCCTGGAATTAGCATTTTGAATTTCCATGACTTTTCCAGGTTTTTAATGACCGGAAGAACCCTGGTATGTGTGTCTGCACAGAAGGTACATTGTCCATTAATACGTTTACATGCAGTTTCTTTCAAAACATCACCACATTTTTACGAAACATGGGTGTTATAATAAATAATCACCTATAACGACTTCATTATCATGTCCCTAAATAACACTCAAAAACTGTACAAATGTGAAATATAAAATAAGAGCCAAAATAAGTACATTTTGGTTCAATAAATGCCATGAGAGCTGAAACTCTGCCGGTTAAATGAGGTAAAAGGAGGAGAACCAAACTGTGGGAATATTATCATATAGTGAACATCTTGAAAACTGGGAAATCAAACTAAAATAAAAAAATAGTTTAATGTGCAAGAATATTAATTCCAGACTAAATAAATTAAGCAAACTTGCAACATGTTTCCTTCACACTCAGAAGTTTTCTGACTTGCCTCAAACCGCTTCTACAAATTGCCAAATTAACTTTTGTTTCTTAAGGCTGACACACGTTATCCATATTGAGGCAGCTGTGCCTCAAAAGACGATGTCATTCTATTACGAAATCCTTATCAGTTCAAAAATATTCCAGAAGCTTCTGCAGGGGAGGCTGCGGGTTATCTTTGCCTCTCCATCTCCAGCCTATCACAACTGACTTCTCCCTCAGGGGGGGGAGCCCGGAGACATTTAAATAAACGCTGATCGAGCTTAAGGAGCATTAAGAAAGCTCGTTTTCTTTCAAGCCTAAACACCCATTAAACATCAGCCACCATGGTTAACTGGACCAAAACCGAGAAAGCCACTATCACCGACATCTTCTCCCACTTGGACTATGATGACATCGGACCCAAGGCTCTCAGCAGGTCGGGAAACTTCTCTAAATGTAAAGTATAAACAAATCCTGGACAACCTAATCTTCTTACTGATCCTGTGTCCTCTTCCCCTGCAGGTGTCTGATCGTTTACCCCTGGACTCAGAGGTACTTCAGTGGCTTTGGAAACCTCTACAATGCTGCGGCCATCATCGGCAACGCCAAGGTGGCAGAGCACGGCATCAAGGTGCTGCACGGCCTGGACCTCGGCCTGAAGAAAATGGACAACATCGAGGCCGCCTACGCCGATCTGAGCAGCCTGCACTCCGAGAAGCTGCACGTCGACCCCGACAACTTCAAGGTAAGGTTTCTCACTCCTTACACACTCAGGTTGTACAGATTTGAAAGGACTTTCTTTAATGGTTTGTTTGCTCTTGGTGTAGTTGCTGTCTGACTGCATCACCATCGTTTTGGCCGCCAAACTGGGAAGCGCTTTCACTGCAGAGACACAGGCCACCTTCCAGAAGTTCCTGGGCGCCGTGATGTCCGCCCTGGGAAAGCAGTACCACTAAACCAGCAGCTTGTGCTCCTGGTAACCATTAAGGAGATCTGACTTCTGTCAAGAACTCTCCTTAATAAAAAAATAAAGTCTCACTGAAGAAAAAAGTTCTTTAGTTTGTTGTCGCAATTTTTTCGTGCGTAATTACGCACCCATCATAGACCAAGGTTTGGTACTGAGGTGACCCTAGCCTGGCATACTCTCAATGATTTGTTATTACATTGGCTATTCTTTGGCCTCGTTTAGAGTTACTGGACGGTTCATTCATTTGTGAAACGTGAGGGGCAATGTTTTCTTTAGAAGATGAAGAGACATGGCTCAATACATCTAAGTTAAAGGTGGGACATTTCAAACAATTATAATCGTGTAAGCATCTCATAAGGTCTTTAAAAAAATAAAAGTATAACAAAATAAATGAACATGTTGAAAGTTATTGGGTAAATGATAACGTGGGAAAACTTAAAACAATGCATGACTGACATGATTTGTCTCATTCCTGCAGCATGTATCACAAAGTCCTGTAGCATTGACAAATAACAATTTCACTTCTACTTTATGGGGTGATTTCACACCTAAAACCAGGCTAGTTAACATGGGAGAAGCCAACAAAAGTAAGAATGTTTTTTAAAATTATTATGCTGTTACTGTAGTGTGTATCTAACATATTTGAATTGAAATAAATCAAACAATCAGAACATAAAATTGAGTAACTCTGAGGACCTCCTAGGGACTGAAAGAATACTTATTGTAACCCTTTCGGTGTTATCTGAGGTGGATTTCTGTGTTGTGTTTCCGTGGGACCCTTGAACTTATCACCAGCTGAGACTTTACTTACCTCATTTCAACCCAGAACCACTGCCTCAAAAAGCACAGACAGAACACATGGAGAAGGTTTTCTTCCGTTTTAAATGTTTCATTGATTACCGTACCGTACCGTGACCACAGATTTACCTTCACAGTATGCAACTCACTCTCTAAGTCCATTTTGAACAATTTTCTGTATCTTTAGACATGAGAAAACATGTGCAGCTGCTTGTTAAATCCAGCAGGTGGCCTCATTTGTACAGTAGGTCTTTTATGAAAGTAAACAAGGTCTTGGCTTAATCTTCAGTTCAAATAGCTACTTTAGAAGTTTGCGACCACTTTTTTTTAACTTAAGTTGCAAAGAAACTAAGAGCTAAACATTTATTTTTGATTAACTTGTCAATTTCACTCATTCATAACCCAACAACAGGGTCCAAAGGTGTAACATTTATGCATGAATATTTGTGAATGTTTTGTATGGAGGTTTAGTGTTTATTTGAAAGTCAAATCATGCCATCACATGACGAAAGGCCTCCTAAAACACAGTAGATCATTTTGTTCCAGATTTGACCCGTTTCTGCAGTTTGCTATCCTGAGTTAACATAATCATTTTTGGATTATGTCTGGATAAAAGACACCTGACAATGGCTTTAAGTTCTGAATGGAAAAAGTATTACATTAAAAGTTTTGAATTGTTTTAGTTTAGTTTATTTCAGCACCAAAGAAAGGTATCATAATGTTTTATAAGTTTATCTCAGAACCATGGACAGCTCCATATTTGCAAGCTATTTAAGTACATCAAAAAACAGCTCAGCATTAAAACCGTTGAACTGTTTGAAAAGCGACCTCCTGTCTGCTCTAGTTTTAGCAAATACATTATTTAATTGCATTTGATTCAAAACATAAATTAACAAATTATGACACATGACTGATTTGGGTTGAAACAGTATGAAATTAAAGCATCCACTGTATAGCACAGCAGTAAACATGAATTATAAATACTGCCTGACTGCGCTTGATCTGCTCCTCTTCATCTCCAGCCTATCACAGCTGACTTAGGAGGGGGAGCCCGGACACTTTTAAATAAACACTGATCCAGGAGCATTAAGAAAGCTATTTTTCTTTCAAGCCTATACACACATTAAACAGCTACCATGGTTGAGTGGACCGAGCAGGAGCGCGCCATTATCACCAGCATCTACTCCCACGTGGACTATGATGACATCGGACCCAAGGCTCTCAGCAGGTAGCCTACTTCTCTTACTGTAAAGTAAAGATTAAACAAAATCCTGGACATATACAGCTTCATACCGATCCTGTGTCCTCCTCCCCTGCAGGTGTCTGATCGTTTACCCCTGGACTCAGAGGCACTTCGGCAGCTTTGGAAACCTCTACAATGCTGAGGCCATCATCGGCAACGCCAACGTGGCAGCGCACGGCATCAAGGTGCTGCACGGCCTGGACCGCGGCGTGAAGAACATGGACAACATCGAGGCCGCCTACGCCGAGCATCCTGCACTCCGAGAAGCTGCACGTCGACCCAGACAACTTCAAGGTAAGGTTTCTCACTCCTTACAGATTTTAAAGGACTTTCTTTAATGGTTTGTTTGCTCTTGGTGTAGTTGCTGTCTGACTGCATCACCATCTTCGTGGTCGCCAAACTGGGAAACGCTTTCACTGCAGAGACACAGGCCGCCTTCCAGAAGTTCCTGGCCGTCGTGGTGTCCGCCCTGGGAAAGCAGTACCACTAAACCAGCAGCTTGTGCTCCTGGTAACCATTAAGGAGATCTGACTTCTGTCAAGAACTCTCCTTAATAAAAAAATAAAGTCTCACTGAAGAAATGTTTAGACACATAAGGTGCGGTATTTGTGTAAGAAGATTAATGTTTGCCTACAATAAAGACATCACTGAATTAACCCAAGTTAAAGATGTGAAATTTAAAAAAGTATAATTATGTAAGCAGCTCCTAATGTCTAACTATCGAGTCAATAATAAAGTAGTACAAACAAATGCATGATCGAGGAGTTTAAGCATGGTGAGTGCAGGTTTCATAAAGTCCTGTAGATCACCATTAACAATGTCACTTAGAATTTATGGGATTTTTTTAACACCTGAAAACCAGGGTAGGAAACATAGAAGAAGCCAGCAAGATTAACCTAGATTTTTTTTATTATGTGTGTATTATCAGACATTTAGTTAAAAAATAAATCAAAACATATTCAGAAATGATAATTTAGTGGCTCCCATCCAATAATGCAATACAATACAACGTTGTAAAGCTTATTGGTGTTATAAGAGCTGCATTTCTGTCTTGTTATTCCGCGGTACTCCTATCACAAGCTATGGCTTTACTTGAAAGCAGATAAGAGGCTACAACCCGCCAGTGCCTCAGGATGATCAGGAGACCTCAGTTCAACCCAGAGCCACTGCCCCCACAGAAACCAGAACACAGGAGGATATGTTCTACTGTGTTAAATGTTAGTAATTGTATCACCACCAAAGAAAAGGTTTGAATGTTTAACACGTTTATTTCAGCACCACAGACAGATCAGGCATTACAGTATTAAACATTCATTGAAAGTATTATCAATTAAAATGAGCCTTAGAGATTTTCGGTTAAACACTTTATTATAATTGAAACAGTAAATATTTTTTCAAATGGAAGTACAATGGATTAGTTGTTCAGCTCTTCATGTTAATATAAAAGAAAATATGAAGTCCTGTAAATGAAAGTGGAATAAATAATATATTTAATATTCAATCTGGAAACTCTTCCAGTACAATGTAACAAGGTAGACATATTCCTACTAATATGTTTTACTACCTGTCCACAGTAATGCAACTACATCAATTAGTACGGCAAACTATGGTAAATACATACAGTAACTGTAGGTAGCTCACACAGAGGGTCCAGTTTTGAGTATTTCTTAATACTCATGACTGAGACGTGATTCCTTTAAATTTGTTTACACAATCCTTAAGGTCCCACGTTTCCAGATCTGTTTAAAACATATCATTTGGATCAGGGGTGCCCAACCTTTTTGAACCGAGAGCTACTTTTAAAGTTGCCAGTCTGCCGAGATCTACCAGTCCAAATAGAGAGGCGTAGCCATTACTGACAGCCTACTACCAGGTAAATACACACTTCTACTTGTATAAAACTGACCTTTCTACGATGAATACTTCATAAAATACTGCAGATCCTTTATCTTACCTCTTTCTAATCTACACACACACAAGTATTTAACTGAAGTTACACAACAGTGTTGTTGATACAGAGTTGGAGTTTATTCACACGTCACTACAGTGGGTAATGTTTTCAAGAAACATTGAACAGTGCTGCCACATATGACACAGGAAGAAAAGAAAAGACTCTGAACCCTTTCTTTGCCATTATTTAAAAATAGTGTTGCTACAAAAGTATAAATGAGGCTTACTAATAAGACGACTCAGATCTGAAGCTGCACAGGAATCTGCTGCAAAAGTGCAATAAAAAAGACAAAATTAATAGAATCAAACCCTTTTTTTGTTGCATTTTATTAGAGTATAAAAAGAAATGCCTTTAAAATAGGATGCAAGCAACACTAGTTTCTTAACCTGAATTGATAATAGACTATCATCAATTTAAACAGAACAGATCTTAATGTTTGCATTCTTATACCATTGTGTACAATAATTATAATGAATACGTTCAAACAAACTAAAACTTACAGCTGATTAATAACGGTATCTAACTTGAGTTTTTATTATATCAAAAACCTGTTGAAATGCTACTGTTATTTTTACTGTCCCCAAAAAGCTCGTCGGCAGCCTCCAGGAATGCTTCTTTCACAACTTCGCCATCTTTGAAAAACTTCATGTGTTTCTCAAGAACGTGACTGACACGATAAGATGCTCCGGTAGCAGCCTTGCTCTTGTTGTTGGCCCTGGTGAAAATGGACTGCTGTGCATTTAGCTGTCCTTTCAGGCCCCTCCCCTTTTGGGAGCGTAGGGCAGAATTCCGTCTCGTAGCGTTTGTGCACTGTTTTGAAATGCCGCTCCTAAATTACCCTTCTTCGATAAAGCTACGCTCGCATTGCAGATGAGAGACAGATGGACTTTAAATTGGAATAGATACAAAAATAATCATCCTCCCACTCGGAGTGAGAATTATATATGTTTTGCTTCTGCCATAATTGCGGTCTTGTGTGTGTGCGGACTGTCACTACTGTGTTGACACGGACAACGTTAGCGAACTAGTGCAGTGCACACTGCCCACTGCTCACCAGCCACGCCCCGACATATGGGGTCACGCCGGCCAATCACAAAGCTTTGATGCGTTCAAGTGCATTATTCTGGCACAGGAAGATTATGTTACAGGACATTAACGATAAAACAGAATATTGTTGTTCTATTTTTAGACACATCTCGCGATCGACTGGGAATCTCCCCGCGATCGACTGGTTGGGCATCCCTGATTTAGATATAATACCAAGAGTTTAAAATGGACTTAAATGTATTACTTTAACATTAAAGGGCCCATGTCATGCTTTTCTGGTTATTACCCGTCCTCTTGTGTGTTATGAAGGTTTGTCTGCATGTAAACGGTCTGCAGAGTCACAAACCCTCAAAGTACACCCTGTAGCGAGTACAAGTCTAACACAGAAAATACCTGTCTATGCTGCCCCAGAACGCCTCGTTGGAGATTTCTCATTTCCATTGTTTACTTCCTGGGTTCTGTGACGTGTGAACTCCCAAATCAACAACAAATGACTGGATTGGCCCAAATGGACCAATCCGCGGAGCACATCACACACCAGGATCCCTTGGCTAACTAACAGGGAGTCCCATTGACTTGCATAGAGCTCCTTGAACGCTGGTAATAGACGAGTTGGGATGGCGGAGAAATGCTCTCCGCAGACCCATTCTCACAGCGTTATAAACCTTTTTCTTACTCAATATCAAGCCACACTTATGATTTTTACTTCAGCTGTGAGTGTTTCTGTGTGCTCAGGATGAGTTTCGCGCTGTCTCGCTGTATCACCGACCCGGAAACCTGTCCGCTCCTTGCAGCAATGAGCCTCGCAACGTCCCGACCAATCAGAGCACACTGGGCTCACAGGGAGGGGCAGGAGCTCCAACAAGCCGTTTAGGACAGAGAGTGAATACACAGAGATGCTAAATGAGAAACCAATGTGAGCTTGGAAAATTGCACAATATAAATCTATTCTAGTAGACCTCAACAATGGAACTATGATCAGTAGAAATGGCCATGACATGGGACCTTTAACAGGTTAGATTGGCGGCAATATTGAGAAAGTAGTGCGGTGTAGCAGTCTAATCATAAAAGATGTAGAACACCAACCATTGCTTCTTCTTTTCACACCAACAAATTAATGCTACCTTAGCGACACCACCAAAAATTAAAAGCACTCACCGGTGAGCCGACCGTAGGAGGCCCATCTTCGGTCAGGTGAAGACAGTAGAGCCCACCTGGGTCCGGGTGAAGTTGGTGAACATCCGAAGAGGGGAAGCACACGGTCTTTCGGTAAAGAAATGCTTATCTGTGGAGCTTTTACAACCCGGAAAAGTACATATCATTATAGCACCATGTTAAACAAACGACTAACATGGCTACATTAAAAAGAACAAGCTACCGTTGATGCCACTAAAACTTGGAAAGGTTCACCTAAACACCAAAACAACGATATATTAGCCTTTTTTAGACAATTATGATATATAGTTTCTATTTTATGTCGTACGTGTATGTAGAAATACGTGAAAAATGCACTTTTGAACAATGTTTTCGATGCTTTTACTCCGTTTTTTTAAAAACTTGTTGTGGCTTCTTCTTCGTTGTATTTATTATCGGTACTAGCCAGACTAATCAACGCATTACCGCCACCCACTGGACTGGAGTCGAAATAGACTTGAAATCAGTTAATTGTTTTAATATTTTTGTAATCAGTGGACTTTTGTATCTGCTACTAAATGTTTGGATAGCATTTTATTATAATGGTGGTGCTGTTGTAGTATACAGTAAATGTGTGCTGCTATTCTGGTACTGTCTTGTATGCTGGACTGTGGTATAACTTACACGTTTTAAGTTCAAGTATATGTCAATTTATAGTTTTCTAAATAATATTGTAAATGCATGAATTCATTTTGTTTCAGATCACCATTGGCTTCCATTCAAGCTAGTATAGTATGAAGAGATGCAACAAATATTTACAATTATTTTTAGTTGGATTACACATATATGTTGTGTGTACGTAAAATAATAACTCAAAACAACTTTTTGGTGCGTGAACTTTATATCGTCATACAACAGAACAGGGACCATTTTAATTGCACATTTGTATTATTATCGTTTTTATGCAGATGATACCGTGATGTACTGTGCAGGTCCCTCCATTATGGAGGCTGGTGTTAAATTACAGGATGTTTTTAACATTATTCAGACTCAGCTCTCTGAACTAAAGCTTCTTTTAAATGTTGAGAAAACCAAGGTAATGCTCTTTTCTAAAGCTAAAAAGACACCAGAGCCTGTTCTAGATATTGTAACTACGCAAGGAATACAACTTGAAGTGGTTACCTGTTACAAATACCTTGGTATCTGGCGTGATGATTGTCTCACTTTTAAACTTCATGTCAATAACCTGCTTAAAAAGCTGAGGGTTAGGCTAGGTTTCTTCTACAGGAACAAGTCCTGTTTCTCGCTTGAGGCCAGGAAAAGGCTAGTCACTGTGACCTTTTTACCTGTGTTGGACTATGGTGATCTGATGTATATGAATGCACCTGCTAATTGCCTGGTCAAGTTAGATGCTGCGTATCACAGCGCGCTAAGATTTGTGACAAACTGTAAAGCATTAACCCATCACTGTACCCTGTATGCAAGGGCTGGTTTGCCTTCACTAACTGTACGGAGGCTCAGTCACTGGTACATTTTTATATACAAAGCCATGTTAGGGAAACTTCCATCCTACATCTGCTCCCTGATCTCACGGAAAATTGTAAGTGGCTACTGCCTGAGATCGAATGCTGTAGTTTTATTAAATGTGCCAACTGCTAGGACTGTCTTAGGGAAGACAGCTTTTAGATGCGCAGCTCCTCTGTCTTGGAATAGTCTGAAAATTAAATGGAAACTGAACAATCTGGTGCCACTAAATGTTTTTAAAGCTCGGTTGGATGCTACTCAATCGTAAGCTATAGGTACCTGTTTATGTGGATAATTATGTAAATGATGCTGTATGTCCTTTTGTTGTTCTATTTATGTTTTTATATTTCATGTGGAACTACTTGAGCAGGTCTCCCTTGAAAAAGAGATCAATGATCTCAATGGGATTTATCTGTCTAAATAAAGGTTTGAAATGATATGAAATGATAAAATATTGCATTGAAACAGCTACACATATATACATATATCACATCATACAACATCATAAATGTTTTTTATATATAGGCTACTACAAACACACGACTGGGCCTGGGTCTCATCTGTATTTCTCGGCGAGCACGGCTGCGAAAGCTGACAGGTACTTGTCCATCGCTGCGTGTGCAACCGCTGTGAAGTCATCGCGCATGAGACAGGACAGGGCGACGAGCATACAGTGGGACAAGAGCTGAAGACAAGGGAGAGGCTTGTTAGTCATGAAACAATCTAGTTGGGCCAAATCAATCAAGAAACAATCAAGGCAACATGTTTAGATATCAATAGAAGAGAAGTTTGTTCAGAGTATAAATATAAACTATATTGAAAATACTTAAGCACTTCCCATTTTCAAGCACAGGAGTAACGAGGCAAAGAATTGTAGTCTGATATGTACGGAAAATGTTTTAGTTTGGACTTTTTGTTGTTGTTACGTTGGGCTCCGAGCTAAATGTGACAGTATTAACCACAATTCTTTGAATATTTACAAACTAAACTATTGATTTAGCAGAGCAAAAATGATATATAGCGTAATCATCTATAAAAACAATCATTAGCTGCAGTCCTGTACCAAATGTTAAAAAGATATCTCCACCAACTAAAGAAATCCAAAGCTATATCTTGCTTTCACACTAGTGCATGCGTAGTTATATTATAGTGATATAATAAATAAAATATATCAGTTAGGTTAGGGTTAACATAACCCTAACTCTAACCCTAACCTAACCCTTTCGTACTGACTACAATTGCATTTTACATGAAGTACATTTTCCTGATTGTACTTCCACAGTTAAATGTTTTGAAAACCAGTACTAAATGTACTTATGCTGAGGCTCTGAATATTTCCTCCATCACTGTTAATAAGCAACTGTTAATTAAATAAAGAACCATTCATTATTCTCAGTATAATTGATTAATAGCACTCTGTTGGGAAAATAGTGAATGTACTCCTTCAACATCAGAGTAGCACATGATAACAAAGGTATCCCAACTGTAGCTGTACATGACAGGATGTATGATTACCTAGAAGAAGCTCATGAGACACTGTGTTGAACATATGATAGCTATGTTCAAACGATTAACATGATGATTCAGCCTCTATGGAGATAGACATATGACTGTCATGTTTATTGCTTACGCAGGCCTTAGCTAATCTGAACTAAACATTGAATACTGCTTTAAACAGGTATTCCTCCATCTTGTGACTGTGTAACTCCCTCTCTTGTATATCAGCATGTGAAGGACACTGTTCAGGAACTAGTTGGACCAAATGCTCTATATGTGATGACTACTTCCATTATTGAGAGGATCATAAATACATGGATCCTGATTATTGAAGCTTAAGCCGGTGAGGAGTGATATTTTTCTAACACACAGGTACCTTGAAGTTGGTGGGGTCTATCCGGAGCTGGTAGGCGTGCATGATCTGCAGAGGAGTGAGGGTGACGATCAGCTGGCTGATGTCTTTGGATCCCTCTGCGAGAGCCAGAACGATCTTCTTCCCGTGAGAGAGCAGGTGGGGCGAGCCACGGCTGATGTCCAGGTGGGAGAAGTAGGTCTTGCTTCCCGGGAAACAGGCAAACATCCTGAGGAGGGATTGGGAATGTTAGTGGTATTACAATATTTCACGTTGTAGGCACCTTTTCTACCACTAGGGGTCTCTGAATCAAAACAATAGCAACATTGAGATTTTGGTTGGGTCCATTGACGTCATTAAAGTTTGCATCTCCAAGGATTACTTCTTTGTTCAATAATTCGTTAAATGCTCTCCGGAAAAAATTGAGTTAGTAATTTATAAATAATGAAAAACAATGAAATAGAGCAGTTTCAGGTTGTTGACCAAGTTGTTAGAAGTCCCGCAAATCCCACGTTTTCTCAGCGTGATGTTAGGTTACTTAAGATCCAGACATCCTGACTAAAAACCTTTATCAGGATAAAACAAATGATTAAAAAACAAGCAAGATTGAAAACAGTGTTTTGTTGAAGTATTACTTAAAACTGGAAGAAAGTAAATGAATGACAGCTTCTGACAGACAATACAACCTGACCATTGCTCAAAGGGGATATGACGCCATATCCGCTGACCGAATGGAACATACCATGAGTTTTGATTCAAAGGTTTTACAGGTTTCTCTTGGTTTAAAATAAATGGAAAACCTTTGATAACCTTTGTTGAGTTGAGGAAGAACTCAACAAAAAATAAAGGACTAGTCGTTTTCTGACGTTTTCATGTGGAAATGTCAGATGTTTACATACTACACACAATCTTTTAGGCAAAACAATTCATATAATTTACCTCTTGCTGTACATCAAGAATATTTTTTAAATCACTGAATATGGAACTGGGATTATTTCTTGCCAGCTTTTAAAACACTACTAATGATATGAGTGACCAGCAGTTAAAATAATGATCATAGGCACTTACCCTTATAAGTTAATATAATAATACTTTATATTGTTATGAAGCATTATGAACATTTATGAATAACTTATTTGTATATTTGAATATTAATGAATGCTTTGAACTATAAGCATGCAGGGCTTTGAGCAGATTATAACACCTTGTACCCAAGTATGTTTATAATGTATTATAGACATTGGCATTATAGGCATGGCTATTGTAAAGGCAAACGTACTGTTATGTTTTACAAAATGGATAAAACATTTTGAGGAAGCCTTTACATTCATGAACACACACCAGACCTATGTGGAGGAGGGGTCCAGTTTTCCACGTTAGCTAACAATTATTTTACTACTCAGCTGATACAATGACATGTATTTCCATTAATTTCACACGCAGATTATATTTCGAAGTGTTAACCTACCTGAGAAGCGCATCTGCTCCAATTTCCTCAGCCACAGGAGTCAGACTTTCCCATATTTCTACAATGAGCATTTTCTCTTTATTTGACAGCATCGCAGCCTATTGCATTGAACTTTACAAATATTCACTGTAGCTGAAAGTACAATGACTTTGCAGCAGAGCACTTCGGATTTAATAAACGTGCAACAATGGTGTGCGTAAAAGGTGTTAATCAACCATTGTGTCGCCAATTTAACGACGTTACGGGAAGAAACGCAGAACCGGATAGAGAGTAAAAGTAAACAAATCTTTCTGTGGTTAAAGCTGAAGAGTGATGGTGACTATTTGTGTTGATCCTCTGCTCCGTGTTATCAGTGCAGACAGGCAGGGTGGGGACTGCTCTGCGCTATCAGCTGCTCCACATGCGTCACTCTGGGGATTTTCTACCATAACATTAGTGTGGCAGCTAATCCACCCAAATGACCCCAGAAGTGGTTTTGTTTTGCTAAATCTCTCTAAAAAGGTCAAATTTCACTTGTTTTGCATCAATCTTGATACAGGGTACTTATTATATGTTATAGTTTGGATTCCTAAAGCTTTTAGTCTAGCATCCCATCATTCAAGGGTGGTTTTCACTACAAGTAATGTTTTATTTTTTGGACGGACACTATAATTTACAGTTTTTTACTGTGTTCAATCTGAATTTACTTTAAAATAAAAACATCTATATTGATTCTGACACTTCTACATCCAACTCACATATGTAACCTTGCTTTGAGAAAAAAGATTATTAATTTACCCCTTTTAGAAGTGAAGATATGGTCATTTGTTCTGGGCATGTCATTTTCGAGCCTGAGACCTGAAAAACAGGCTCAGGGTTTAACAGGTTAAGGGGATTAAAACATGTTTAGCTGCTGTATCTTCTCTAGAGTGGCTTCCTTTTAATTATGAAAGTGAAACTGAATAATAATAATAAGTCAATTGTTTCCCAATGGAGAGCAAATGGCTTCCTGTTGGCCAACTTCCAACATGTCTTTCTATATTTCTTAAAGGGAGAGTAAATAGGGTAAATAGGGTAAATAAGTAAGTAGGGTCAAAATGTAGAACTAAAAGATATCACTATGAAACTTTCCCCGTTGATTGTTTGTTTGCATTGAGGCAATTTTTGTATTACAAGAAATTACAATTTTGCAAATGAGGCATTATCTATTCCTCACATTTGGTTAATTTAAGATTAATCATATGCATATTGAAAAAGTTAGTAAATGAAGCACCTGAATGTGATTTGTGGATGCTTTTCCTTTCCACTGAAACAAGACATGTTATGGAGATAGCCCAAATCCCCTCCTTTACCAGTGTATTACAATTATTTTCCTTGTATTGTCACCCCTTTTAAAGTGTCTTATTGCACCAATTGACAAGACATTAACATATTAAATGTGAGTCAGGAGCCGTTTAGCTGTTATCTGCTGGTCCAGGGAGCATGAGGCCCGCCTGCATCATATACTGCAGCTTACATTACATTAAGTCACTTGTTAAGACGCTTTTATCCAAAGCGACTCACATACTCAATCCTGTGGCCAATCCCCACAGGAGCAATTTGGTGTGAAGTATCTCAGGGACACAACGACATGCTGACTGCAGTGGGGTTTGAACCTGTGCTCCCCTGATCCGAACACCAACGCACAACCCACTGTACCACACACCTCCCGCCTCCCGTTATATCTGCTATAGCACAGCATTTGTCTTTTATTGCACATTTGAAGAGAAACCTTCATGCCCAAGATCCATAAAGCAGACAGGGTCAATATGTTGGTGACAGGATTTATCCGTTTTAAATATCAATAAATCTGCCAAATATTTCCCAACACGGTTAGAGTTTAATCAGATTATCACATACTAAATGCCACATAGTGAAGCTTTGAGTAAAGGCTTTAGGAGCCTTTTGGGTTTTTGTGGATCCAGGGCTGTTACCCAATGTTCCCCAATATTGATTCAGCATGGAAAATTGTTGCACTTGGACTATTCAAAGACTAAATATAATACCTTACAATCTAAAAGCTTTTACAGTACTGGAATTAATACAAATAAACAAGTTTGAAGACATGATTTAAAAAGACAAATGCTCAACTATATCAACAGAAAAGTTCATTCGATCAGCTCTGGTTATGAATATATATAACTTTTTTTGGACAGTTACATTGATTGTTTGCATTTCAAGCAGCTGCAGAAACCACAAATGGTGTTTTTCACGGGCAGAAAGTCATCTGAGGTCGTCTGGGCAATAAGGCAGGAGATAAGATGGGGTGTTTTTGAAAGAGAAAGTAGTCAGTGCCAGCGAAGTCGCCATATCACTTCCAGATAGCTCAGCAGTTAAAATGGGGACCTTGCATGACCCCCTTCCCCTCCTACATACATGCAGCATTCTCGCTTTAACGCTCATAAGCAGAGGTGGGAAGTAGTGGAGTAAAATACTTTGTTACTGAACTTAAGAACATGTTTCTGGTTTCAGTACTTTACTACACTACTTATTTTCTGACGACTTTTGACTTTGACTTCTTACATTTTGAACACAAATACCTGAACTTTCTACTTCTTACATGTTGAACACAAATACCTGTACTTTCTACTTCTCACATGTTGAACACAAATACCTGAACTTTCTACTTCTTACATGTTGAACACAAATACCTGTACTTTCTACTTCTTACATGTTGAACCCAAATACCTGTACTTTCTACTTCTTACATGTTGAACCCAAATACCTGTACTTTCTACTTCTTACATTTTGAACCCAAATACCTGTACTTTCTACTTCTTACATGTTGAACCCAAATACCTGTACTTTCTACTTCTTACATTTTGAACACAAATACCTGTACTTTCTACTTCTTACATGTTGAACACAAATACCTGTACTTTCTACTTCTTACATGTTGAACCCAAATACCTGTACTTTCTACTTCTTACATGTTGAACACAAATACCTGTACTTTCTACTTCTTACATGTTGAACCCAAATACCTGTACTTTCTACTTCTTACATGTTGAACACAAATACCTGTACTTTCTACTTCTTACATGTTGAACACAAATACCTGTACTTTCTACTTCTTACATGTTGAACCCAAATACCTGTACTTTCTACTTCTTACATGTTGAACACAAATACCTGTACTTTCTACTTCTTACATGTTGAACCCAAATACCTGTACTTTCTACTTCTTACATGTTGAACCCAAATACCTGTACTTTCTACTTCTTACATTTTGAACCCAAATACCTGTACTTTCTACTTCTTACATGTTGAACACAAATACCTGTACTTTCTACTTCTTACATGTTTGAACCCAAATACCTGTACTTTCTACTTCTTACATTTTGAACCCAAATACCTGTACTTTCTACTTCTTACATGTTGAACACAAATACCTGTACTTTCTACTTCTTACATGTTGAACCCAAATACCTGTACTTTCTACTTCTTACATGTTGAACACAAATACCTGTACTTTCTACTTCTTACATGTTGAACCCAAATACCTGTACTTTCTACTTCTTACACTTTGAACACAAATACCTGTACTTTCTACTTCTTACATGTTGAACTCAAATACCTGTACTTTCTACTTCTTACATGTTGAACACAAATACCTGTACTTTCTACTTCTTACATGTTGAACCCAAATACCTGTACTTTCTACTTCTTACATTTTGAACCCAAATACCTGTACTTTCTACTTCTTACATGTTGAACTCAAATACCTGTACTTTCTACTTCTTACATATTGAACTCAAATACCTGTACTTTCTACTTCTTACATGTTGAACCCAAATACCTGTACTTTCTACTTCTTACATGTTGAACCCAAATACCTGTACTTTCTACTTCTCACATGTTGAACACAAATACCTGTACTTTCTACTTCTTACATGTTGAACTCAAATACCTGTACTTTCTACTTCTCACATGTTGAACACAAATACCTGTACTTTCTACTTCTTACATGTTGAACTCAAATACCTGTACTTTCTACTTCTTACATGTTGAACCCAAATACCTGTACTTTCTACTTCTTACATGTTGAACCCAAATACCTGTACTTTCTACTTCTCACATGTTGAACACAAATACCTGTACTTTCTACTTCTTACATGTTGAACTCAAATACCTGTACTTTCTACTTCTTACATGTTGAACTCAAATACCTGTACTTTCTACTTCTTACATGTTGAACCCAAATACCTGTACTTTCTACTTCTCACATGTTGAACACAAATACCTGTACTTTCTACTTCTTACATGTTGAACCCAAATACCTGTACTTTCTACTTCTCACATGTTGAACTCAAATACCTGTACTTTCTACTTCTTACATGTTGAACACAAATACCTGTACTTTCTACTTCTTACATGTTGAACTCAAACACCTGTACTTTCTACTTCTTACATGTTGAACTCAAATACCTGTACTTTCTACTTCTTACATGTTGAACACAAATACCTGTACTTTCTACTTCTTACATGTTGAACACAAACACCTGTACTTTCTACTTCTTACATGTTGAACACAAATACCTGTACTTTCTACTTCTCACATGTTGAACACAAATACCTGTACTTTCTACTTCTTACATGTTGAACACAAACACCTGTACTTTCTACTTCTCTCATTTTCCAAACAGCTGGTTCCTTTAGTCTGAATGTGTGTTTGATGCGTGATCATTATTCTTTAGAGTCATTGCGTGCCTATTGATTTGAACACGATCCGTGTATCCATCATTTCCTGGTCTTCTCTAAAGAAGAGGGACCAATGGAAACGTTGTCATGTTGCCGTTGTTCAGCATGGAAACATTCATTAGCTAACAATGACATTATTGTTCTATTAATATAAGGTACTCTATAAAACAGCTGCTAGTTATGGGTAATTTTTACTGAAGTACATTTCAAAGCCCATACTTCTTTACTTTTACTTGAGTACAGAAGTTTAGTCAGTACTTCTACTTTTACCAGAGTATTTTTAAACACGAGTATCTGTACTTCTACTTGAGGAAAGGATGTGTGTACTTTTGCCATCTCTGATCATATGAGGTTTCATACCAGTAATGGTGCTTGTACAGTTTAGGTTAGATTTTCTGGTGCACAGATAAACATATTGTCCAACGTTTACAATGATTGATGATAATATCTGATATAAATGGATGATTGTATGAGTTATGGACACTTAGAAGACTATTTAAAAACATATAACATCTATTACACATCCACAACAAATGCAGTGTTTAATTAAAAACATATATGTTTTATTTTTTAAACATTGTCAGACTTTGGGTGTCAGCTGTAACCCAGTGGAT